TTATCTTTCATTTTAAGCCCCAATTACCTTTGTCTGCTCACTGTCTGGGTCTTCAAGCCAAGCATAAGGGTCAGGAATTTTATGCCCATGATAATCCTGTACCTGCAAAAGACAAAATGTGGTATTAGATAATTAGTGTCCAACCCCAAAGTATTTTCTGAATGTGATGGAGAAATGGGAAAAGGACAGACAAAAATAACCCAATTGGCTCAATGGCCATGTCTCTGCCTACATTACCACATGAACCAGTGTTGGCAGGTTCTCAAAGGTGTCAGCCACCCTTCGTGAAAAGAATGTTTTAGCTGGAGAGGGAAGAAAGATGAAAGGTCAGAATAGGAAACAGCTCTGTCTGTACAACACAAAACAAAGGCCTGCCGCTGAGCTAAAGAAACTTGAAAATGTGTTGTCAGTGGCACAGCACAGAAATACACAATGCAGCAGGGACGCAAGAAGGGCACGTCTGGGAGGGAACCACCACACACGTGCTTCTTTTCCTGTGCTTCCTAAGCTTACTGATGTTTAGCAAATCTCCCTACATCACCGAATTTGATCAGTTTTGCCTTTAAGTCTAATCCGCCAAAAAGCAAGTTACTAACGTGTAGTTACAATGATTCTAATTGACATCTGCTGAAAAAGCTGATTTAAATGCAGTGAAAGGACATTTCTAAACTGGAGCCTTTTTGTGTATGGTTATGAAATGCTTTCTTTCACGGTTCATAAAAGGAGGCGCAAAGGCACCCCTGACTGTGACTACCCTGATAGAAATAAAATTGCACAGTGTAAGCAGGGCCTGGATGAGGGGAAGCCTTTGGAGGCTCCCATGGGGGCTGATCATCAGAACAACCTGGGAGCTTCTGAAAGGCCCAGGTTCCTGGGCCTGGCCTCGGAGACTGCCTGGAGTCTGGAAGAGCAATCGGGAATCACTGCTCCCCAGGTGATTATGCCTGAAGACATTTTCCAAAGGTAAAAATCCTTACAAAACCTTTCCATTTCACACCGTCATGATTCATCTAGTTAGCTGAAACCACATTGACAACGTCTTTCCAAGCAAGTCTCTGTGAACAACTCCAACACTCCTGTAAGGCTTTCGGGAAGATGACTGCGTTCTGTCTCCTTCTTGCTCTGTTCTCTAATACCAGAAGGTAAGGGCTACTCCCTAAGGAAAGCAAACACTCCCCTGGAAAAGAAAACCCTGCAGTTTCTACTGCTGGGCAAAGTTCCAGTGCGGCTGCTGCCAACTGAGAAAGATCTCGCTGAGCCTAAAACCCCAGGCTTTTCACAAAGCGTGTGCATCTGTCCTCATCTGGTGTCAGGGGAGAGAGGGCACCTGGGGAGATGAACCTGGAAGAATGGGCAGTTAGGGTGGAACATTCAGCAACAGTCCTCGTTAAACAACTGACTGACAAGTACAAGAGACATAAAACCTCACTTGATGAGTCTTCATACAATTACCAATTTTTAGGGAAAAAGAATACCAATTTTCAATCCTTACCTAGGGCCTCTCTAAATTTTAGCTGACTGTCACCACTGAATGAAGGCTTTTTATCTTTCTTCTCATCCACAAGTCTTTCATATTTTACACACCTTGAAGTGGTTATAAAATATGCTTTAAATAACAACCTCCTTTTCCTTGACAATAAAAAACCAGACAAAGGATCCTGTAAAGGATCTTACAACTCAACATTTTTAGGAGTGATGGCAGGAACAAGATTGGGCCACAGGCCCAGAGCCATACCAAGTTCAGGACCAGAGCTGGGACTAAAATTCTGCCAACAGCTTTCCCCCAAATATTCCTCGGAGGGGACCGAGGAGACACTTTAAAAAATGTTCCTCAATTATGATGTTACTAAAACTCAGACACATCCTGAGACTTAACTTTTCATAAGGAAGCGGAAAAGATTAACTGGAAACCATGTTAGTTTTATGAGTAAGTGAAGGTGCTGCCAAATGCTAGACCCAAAGCAATGAGCCATTTACTGGATACCCACACTGCTGTGCTCAATGTTTAAAAAAGAAACAAAAAACAACCTTGTAGGAGGGTTGATGATATTCCTATTATACAGATTACAGAATGCAATTCAGACAGGGTAGTAAGAGTAAAGGCCACAGATTTACTGTTTACTCAGAGATCTCTGCGAGCTAACTATTGTGCCATAGATTTCAGCCACATTTCTTGTATCTCACTGTGAGGTTATTTGGTTCTCACTGGG